AACCATTACAGGATCATCAAAAATATAATATCTATCAAATTTATCATTAATTACTTATTGCGCTATTTTATTTAATTAAAATTTCAGATATTATACGAATGTTAAAAGTATTTAATTTTCATTTTTAATATTAAAATAATATTAAAATGGAATAAAAAAAATAGAGTGAAACAACACGATGTAATGTAACTGTAAGACGAGTGTGAAAATACGAGGTGTGATCAAAAAGTAAGGTGAATTTTGTTATAAAATAAAAAATCTTTATTTATTCATCCAAATCAATTTGATCCCCTTCAAAGTAATCCCCCTCCGATACAATACACTTATGCCAACGTTTTTTCCATGCCTCGAAGCATGCCAAAAAGTCGTTTCCCGGTATAGCCTTCAAAGCGCGCAGCGATTCACGTTGAATCTCTTCAATAGATTCAAAGCGGTGTCCCCGGAGCGGTCTTTTGAGTTTGGGAAATAGCCAAAAGTCACACGGAGCTAAGTCAGGTGAATAAGGCGGTTGCGGAACGATATGAGTGGAATTTTTGGCGAAAAACTCACGAAGAATCAATGCCGTGTGAGACGGCGCATTATCGTGAGGCCCAAGTGATCCTTCAAAATTGTTTGAACTGAACCAAATGAAATGCCAACCATATCGACAAGGTCTCTAATTGTCAATCGACGATTTTCGAGCACCAATTCCTTGATTTTCTTCACGTGTTGCTCATCAATTGACGTTGATAGTCGTCCGGGGCGTTCCAAGTCATCAGTACGTTCTCTGCCTTCTTTGAAGTCTTTGTACCACTTATAAACATTTTTCTGCGACATAGTCGATTCTCCGAAGGCCCTCTGCAACATTCTGAACGTTTCCGCAGCCGAAATTTCATTCCGCAAACAAAATTTAATGGCACTTCTTTGCTCAGCAAAATCAGACATTGTAAAAATCGCCAAAATCACTTTTAGTCGTTTAGAAAACACAAGCGTAACTATATGACTAATGATGACATTGACATGAAATTTGCCACAGATGTCACTAACAGTAGTACCAACATAAAAATAAAAAAGTTTGCTCGAATCGATTAGCGCGGGAAGTTTAAATTAAAAATTTACCTTACTTTTTGATCACACCTCGTACATAATATTAATTATCGGTAGCAGGAAATAAAAGAAAAAGTAAGTGAGTGAGTGAGTGAGTGAGAGAAAGAGAGAGAAAGACCAAGAAAACGAACTTATTGATGCAGATATCGATCCACTTTACGTCACATTTCCCCTCAATTTCTTTCTTCTGTCGTGTCTGTCGTGTTTGTCGATCCTTGTTATTCGGCCTTTAATTAACCTCCTGGAAAAAAAAGCTTCCTCAAATGTAGTTGCTGTTTGGTGACGGAGCACTTTGTCGTTCCGACAGATACTATAATTTCTTCACACATTTACCAGCTTTTGTAGCCATGAGAACTTCGCGATACTTCCTCTCGATGATCTCCTTGCAAAGAATACATCGACGATCTTGTTCGAAACTCTGAAGGCCCCAGCACTTCACGTTTTGGAGAACGCTTTATCGCCCGTTAGCACCGACCGCGAAAAATGGTGTGTATCGCGAATCGCCGATTTGCTCTATTCGCTGAACAATTTTTGCGACTGAGAGTGTCTGATAACGAGCCATAGCAGCAGTGACTGAAACACAGGAACGCGATGAATGTCAAAATTCTCTTTTCTTTTTTCTTCCAGCACGACAACATATACGGATTAATGGAATCTTCGTATATATCGAAAGATGTAATTACAAATTAGTTTCTTTTGCAAACAAATATTACTTTAGACGAAGATTTCCCAGCACATTTTGTTTCCATAGCCACTGTACTAATGCCATTATTACATTATTACATGTTTTATCTTAATCCATTATAATGTCATCATATATCTTCTTCCTCCAAATGCGCTCTACTGCAAAATGGCTCTCCGTGTGGAAAGGTTCCGACCATTGTGATTAATATTGGAAGATAATCGGATCCCGATTATACACGGGAGTGCTGTTTCGATATCGCCGGTATTTCATGCTCGATTTGTCCCGCTATATAATCGGATATAAAACCAATAATTAATTCGCCAAAAGTCACAAAGAACAAATTTCGAGAACGAGTCAGTGATATGCTTCTCGTTCTTTTTTGATACAATAATAATAAAACGTTCCAGCGTTGACAAAATAAAAAGTCCGACGATTAAAGTTAATTAGTGTATCATGGCGCAATTAACTGGCTAAATGCTTCCTGTCATTCACGTGTCACATTTTGCTTTTTTGCTGAGTGTTACTTTTATTAGGGAAAATTGGATCCAAATTTAAGTCGAGAGAAAAAAGAGCACGATCGAGATAATTTCAATTGTCATTTCTCATTATTGCAGATTGCTCTTAAGAATAAAGTTATTCTTCAAAAAAAAAAAAATAATTTTAAATCTCGAGATTTAATCCTCGAGATTTAAATTCGTAATTTGAAATGTTTTAATGATAAAATAGTCTCAACAAATATCTATTTAAGCTTTATTTTTAAATAATATTTTAGTTTTTAGTCTTTATTTTTAATTTTAAACTTACATATTTAAATAATATTTAATTTTTAAATATTTATATATAATATTAATGTCTAAAATATAAATTCTATAGCGCGTACATACATTTATTACCGCATATACATATATTCAATTTGCGTGAATATACATCAACTTTGTAAAAATATTTAATTACCTAACAGCTAATAACATTCCTCGACTGATTATTTACTAGTGCCCTTACAAAGTAATTTAAATTACCAAGTTAATTAACACATTTAATGCTACACCGGATTTCGATTAACTTTGAAAAAAATCGAATTAAGGACTAGTATTTCATTATGCGAAAACATACGTGTACAACGTTAACCGGGTACCAGTTAACAGCTAAACGTGCAGAATAAAATTTCATTCTAATGTAAAAAAAAAAAAAAAAAAACAATGTCATTCAATCAAGAGCACGCTTTAAATAACAAATCCGTCCCCTCCGGGCTACAGCGAATAAATGGATGCTGGTAATCTTTAAGTCGTTATCCGCTTGACGTCCGCACCATCGATAAACAATTTCCTAGGTTCGCTCGATAAAGGGCGCGTGCTCGGAATAATGTAGGAATGATTACTTTTCGTCGGCCATGTTGACGCAATGAAATATCAGCGAGCCATCAAACGCTAGACGACGGAGGTCGGGCAGACGTGACGAAAAAATTCGCGTGAGATGCATCGTAGGCGAAACTGGACCGGCAAAAATTCGTCAGTAAATCATAATAATCCTTTGTGCAGGTTTAGCGACTTATACGCTTGGCACCGAAACATCTGAGAGGAAGCCAGTCAAGGTAACGTTCGGCCAATAAGCCGCTTTTGTCGGATCTTCCGGTCGGGCGGACGAACGGGCGAGCCGCCGCCGGTCTTCCGGTCGGCCGAGCGCGGAAAATATGGAATACTCAATCCACTGTACCTTGATACAAGGCACACCTCCTTCACTCTTGCATGACGTTCTCGTCGCGTGCGACGGCGAGAAAACCGTCTGCTCGGTTTGTCATTCATCGCACGCACGAATTTCTCTCTGCATCTGATGGAACTATACATTTTCCTCCATTTCTATCTCCTCGAGAGAAGATACGATTAAAATGGTTCAGATATTAGATGGGAACGCGCTGTTATCGTGCCACGTCAGCGCTTGATATTTATGTAAAGTGTAAATAACGTATTGTAACATAGCAATGATGCAAATGAGCTAATAATATGAAAATAATGTCTGATATATAAACGACATAATAAATCCTTTGCAACAAGTATAATAAAGTAGTGCAGTGAGAAACCTGTAATTGTTGAAAGAACTTCATTAAAATTGACTTTGACTTTTGAACTCTTCACGGTCAATTGCGACTCATAATTTGCTTCGGTGGAGCTAAGTTTTTTGAGTGTCTATTGCAGAAAAGTATCTATTATAAAATTTGAAAACGTTAAACCGTTTCTGAGAAATTTCGAACGTTTCTTGTAGACGAATAAATAAGTGGATAAATAGACAGAACAGACGGATGGGCCAACATTGAAATTATAAAGCAGTTAAAATTGTGTTATGTTCCACTACTTGTGGCTTATGGTCCACTTGATGCTATAAATATTATACTTTGAAGCATTTGACTGATCAATTTATAAAATTCTATTTTCTGATTGGTAAATCAAATTGAAAGCATTTATAGTGGATCATCCCTTTAATAATATCTTTAATAATATGTTTAATAGTACCTTTAATAATATTAATAACGATATTAACGAAAAAACTTTAAAATATTTTAACTCCTAATGAAACTGCAGTGACGAGTAAATTTATATAACTTGTTTACTTGTAAAACAAAATTAAACGTGCTGCATTTTGTACTGAATTTTGACTGCGCCAATAAATGTCTTCGTTACATTGTCACGTCGCACTGTGTACCTGATGAGACACCTTTCTCGGTTGAGCCAAGCTTTATCGAGTGATCGTATCGTTTCGAGTCGTCTGTAACAACTTACACGACAGATCAATTTCGGCAACTCTTCTGTATGAAATCATCATGACAACGATTTATAGACATCAAAGAATGTCAATCACACTGCTGTACGTGATAACGTCAAATATGTTAAAAATTTGAATGCCGATTTAAAGCCATCAATGAATTGAACAGTCGTTTAATTAAGAGAGCTAAAAATATGATTGTTTTTTTGGGGTGATTTGAATAATTCGATTTTGTAAGCTGTTTTCATTAATCTAGCGGTTAATTTCTCGGCTATACGTTTAACAGGATAGCGCACCAATTTTAATATTAACGCTTGGAAAGCTAACCCGAAACGGTTTGCTATTAATATCACTATATATACCCATTAATATTATGCATAATTAAAGATTGTGTTGGTAGTAGACAAAAATCAATAATGGATAATGTAATATTGATCATCATTAGTTGATATAAAGCATATTTAGAGCATACATGTATTTGAAACTACATTATTATTAACGTTTTAACATTAATCTCCATAGGCTGATGCTGAATTGTTTCCTCTCTTCGCAATATTACATTCACTGGAACTATAATTTAATTAAATACATCAATTTGACAATTCAGCATTCTCCTAAAAATGTATTATATGTATTGAAAATGTATTATCTGTATTAAAAATGTATTATACTTATTGATTTTTCAATCACGAAGTTCATCGATATTTAATGTTGTTATCTTTGGTAATAACAGCATTTTCGGTAATAATCCAAAGCGAGTAATAAAATTTAACGATCCCATCAAGTATTAATGTCGCTATCCGTAGTTACGGAACGATGTATCGTAGGCGACATAATATTCCCGCTACAGAGCGATAGATTGATACGTCAGAGTATAATGCTAAAAGGACTTGGTACTCTAGACTATTAATCCAAAAGTAATATATAATCTGATAAACTTATATCATATCAAAGTGAATATAAAGCTCCGATATTTCTAAACAAATCAGCATTTAGAAAAATCTCTTTGCTAGAAATATTGGACTCGTTATAGACATAGAATATTTCCAATATTCCCAATTAAGACACTGTGCATATTAAATCTTCTGTCAATGCGTCGTTTCTTATCTTTTCATTACCGTACTTTACGAGATTCTCGATAAAACTGTAAAAGTGGAAATGAAATAAAGTTTGTGCAAAATTTTTTTTTGGGTGTCACAACGAAATTTACATAAAAAATTTCTACTATATTTAAAATTCGATATGAATATCCGTGTACACGAGAGGTAAATTGCTAAGGGCATTGCGGTGTACGAATTAATAATTAATTGGAACATTACTGGGCATTACTGGGCATTACTAAGGCGCATTAATGGGCATTATTAGGGCATTAGGAAGTATAAAAACTGGGCATTATTTGAGCATATGCATTACTGAG